CTCAACCAAATAATCAAATAGATCAACTTGTCTAAAGTCTTCAAGTTTTAACTCAACAGTTACAACAAATGAATACTGGATCTCAACTTAATCCAAGAAATAATAATAACTATTAACAACCTTAGGCTAACTAATCTCAACTCTATCAACCTAGACCTCGACCCCAAAGACCAAATAATTTTGTTTGCTATTAATGTAGACAACCTGAATATACTCATAGGACCTGCTCTCAAGTTCAAATTATAAACTATTAAAATATTATATCTCCTGTTGCTAACCCTGTAAACCTTATAAATCTTGTAAATTCTATTCTGAATAATTAGCAACTTGCTTAACCTAAACAAGCTCCACAAGTCAACTAACTTTTATAACTTCTTATCTAACTTATACCTAATAATCTAGTACAACAATTTCAACTTCAACCTATAGTTCAACTTCAGGCATAAGCACTGCCTATTAATCAACAACAATAGCAAACCCAACTTCACTATCTAATGCAACAAACTCAGATACAACCTTAAGTTTAACTACAGCAACAAGCTCAATAACAATAAAAACAGCAACATTTAAACTAAGAGGTATACCTTATGAGAATGAGTGTATTGCTTAACCTACAATTCTCTCTAACATAATTACTCTAGAAACATACTCTACAAAAAGGCAACAAGTTGATTAAAATGAAAAGACTAATGACCCAAACAAAAAAGAAATAACTAAGGATGTTAAACAAAAAGGAAAAGCAGTAAAAAGAAAACCAGTAGCTATGCTACCTGTGAACCAAATGATTATACTCTATACTCTTCAACAATTTTTTAACCAACCTGCAAATATAACTAATAGACAATTATTAGCAATAAACTCTAAATTTAGTAGAGCTATCACTGAAAAGCTTAGAAAGCCTATAACTAAAAAGTACTTGTATCTGAAAGTACTGATAAAAAGAATACTAAGAATCTCTTTGATAATAAAAATAATAAAAAAGCAACTAAATAGCCAACTGTCTTAACTATTGATGATAACCTTGAGTTTATAGAACATGATAATAGACAACTAAGTAGAAGTTTAATTGATACAAATCTAAACAAAGCAATAGAGAAAAAGTCTACTTCTTTGTACTATGATGCTACTATTAAACATATTAAATTCACTCTTATTATTAACTCTGGATTAGCTAGAAGTATAATATCACCAAACTTATTAAAGAACTTAGATATGAAAATAACCTAAACCTCTAAGACAGTTATGATTAATATAAATAGTGAATGTTATTGATCTCTAGAAGCAGTCTCTAATATCTCTTTGAAAATAGATAGGTGGAATGCTACAGAAAGAGGAGAAATCAACATTTGTAAAATCATGAAATATCTCATGATTTGTGTTTTGATCACAACAATAATCTGCATACATCTGACCTAATTTAGATATCAGAAAATTAGTACAGATAATCAGCAGTTTACAAAAATTCCTGATAAATAAATATTCATGTAATATAAAAAGTGCAGGGAAATCGACATTATAATAAATAGTAATTTATCTATATCTTTAGTACTATTATATCAGGAGTTCTCTATAATTAATGACTTTTACATTTAATCTAGTTAAATATTTTATAATTGATGTACCTAAAAAAGTTATAGCATTTACATGTTAATTTATGCGATTATAAAATTTATTAATTGATGTATTTATTACTGTTATACTATTCTTTTAATTTATTTGAATTAATTTTGTAAGTGTAAAGATTTTTTTAAATGCTTACTTCTCTATTTCCATAGCTCTTTTAATTTGAGTTAATTTAGGCGAATATAAAGATATTTCATTAATCAATGTATTTACAAGTAACTTAGCATTACCAGTATACGTTTTCCTTATTTAATTTTATATCATTCAGAGTAAATGTAAAAACATTATTGGTCAATATAATTAAAATAAACTATAATATTCGAATTTGTAGTATTTACTTATCATATCACCTTATACCTTTTAATTTCATTTTATTCACGCTAATTTTAGTGATATTATCAGTTATATTTTACTCACATTAATCTAAAATAAATATAAGATAACTTATTAACTGATGTAATTAAGTAAGCTATTTAAATTATAATATTTACATTTATTTAGATATATATTAAGTTACTTTATTAATTAGTGCATTCATTTAATATTATGCTATGTATAGTACTATATGTACAGTACTGTACGCTAAAAAATCAAAAAAAAATATGAAATGCACATCACTAATTATTGTAAATAGTTGTTCATGGTTTTTTATTTGTCACACAGGAAAGATTCCAGATTATGTGGTATCCGTACAGTAAATTTTAACTAAAAAAATTAATATTGATTACCATGCTTCTTATTGAATTATTAAAAATTAAAAAAAAAAGGATTATTGGCACAGACTATTACAATTTACCACTTTCTTATAAAAGGATATTTATAAAACACCTCATGTATAAGATTCAAATATATTTTCTATTTATACTACTGCTATATTAATTATTACATAAATTTGTATCAAGATATATATATACCCTTATTATATAAAGTATCTTGAATTTTATTCAATTCAAAAATAAGAACCTTAATAAATATAACATATTAAGCTTAGATAATAATTATCATGCGTGAGAATAGCTTGTTTTGTATATATATACCATTGACCAATAAAAATAAATTTATTGGTTATATTTTGCTGTAGGATGAGGCACAGATAGTAATAGACAAAGGTCATCTCTTTTTGCTAGGTCATGAATATGTTCATAAATCTGATTATATAAATACCACTATCTTTCTGGCTTTAGATTTTTTGCTAAAAGAGGAGCCAGAAGAGTAAGTAAAGGAAATGAAATAACTTTATTTTTTTTAATAATATTATTTCTATTTTTTCTTCATTTATAGCTGATTTTATTTCTACTCACCTAGGTTTATCTGATGAAATAATGAAATGATGTTGCTTTAAAATTTGTGGAATATTTCTAAATAATTCATCTAAAAGCTAAACCCACTTATAAAATCTAATTTGCTGAATACCATTCTGATCATAAATAGTCTGTGCTGTATTATAACCGTTAACAGTAAAATCTTAAACAACTTGAACTAAATCAGCTAAATTATTGACATCAAAGTTTCGAAGTTTTAGTTTAAGTAGTCCAAAAAATCTGTCAGGTAAAAATTTAGTATGATCTACTATCATGAAAGAATAAATAATTCGTTTATGTAAATTATTTAAAACACACTACATTAAATACTTTATTATTGCATTATTTTTATTTTGCCCTAGACAATTGTCTGCATGAATAGTGATGTACTTTTCTTCAAGACCATGGTTTTCAAAGTAATAGTAAACTATTGAGATAACCATATTTGCTTCTTTTCTAATGTTTTCATTTTCCTTAATTAGGTAATTTTTTTAATTTTAAAAATTATTTAGTAACTTAAAATAAATTATACAAGATTAAAAAAAAAAAAAAAAAATTTAAAACCTGTTGTAGAAAAGCGTCTTCACATATTCTGAAAATTAAAACTTTAAACAAAGATTTAAAATAAATAGATCTCTTAAAGTATATAAGTTAATTAATTTAAAAATAAATATATATTTTATTAATTCTAATGTGTTACTAATTAATAAATACTTCTTGTTGTGAAGAAAATGGAAGATGTACAGATTCAGCAAAATCTTATGAAATATGGTTTTCAAATTCTAAAGAACTCAGTATTCCTAAACGTGAGAGTTTAGATAAATAAATGTAATTTTCTAACTGTTGCTTAGTACTTAATATGCATCATCTAAAAATTTATTAATAAAATAATTATCGTTAATAAAACAAATAAAAATTATTAGTCTCGTGATATCTAAACCAATCAGATATGTAGATAAAACTTAAAACGCAACAAATTGATTACTTATTATTAGTAATATACTACATATAGTATTATACTGTTGACCTATAAAATATTAAGGAAAAGCACAAAATTCTTAATAACTTTGATATACTAGTCTGAATTGGATGAAACATATACTATTGGAATCAGCTCACTAAGGCAGATCTAATGAGCCAAGAATCATTAAAATCCAATCACTGGATCTCGAGATAATGAAGTTTTAGCCTTTTTACAATAATCATGTAATCTGATTAGCTGATAATTACTGCGGGAGATTCGTTATATGTACCATATCTATTACCTATGGTTTTTGAGACACTTATATTATTTATTATATATATATCACATATCATATTTATTATATATTTCATACATGTATTAGTTATATTATATATTTTATTAGTGATAGT